CAAGAGCTTATTGGTCGTTTGTGTTTTTTCAAACCAGAGGAATTCATAAAAAAAAAATAATAATAATGGCCTGAGGCCCATTTAGAAGGAACGAATTTTGACCCCAGCCCTAGGCCTGGAGGCAAAATATCACTTGATGTAGATATCGACGTGACACAGCAAGTCCAGAATCAACATAGCCCACCTGGCATCCAACTCCTCCACGCTGTTGAGTTAAAAAATCTAAATACAAGATAGTTACTCCATCCAGGCATAAGATACTCATTTGCCTTTTAACTTTTTAACTTTTTGAATTTGAGGTATTTTATTTCTCATATTATAATATATAATTTTTTATTTTTAATATTTTCAAGTTTAAGGAAATAATATAAAATTTAATGCTGAAAAATCACGTGCGATACGTGAATTGTTAATCTTGGTTATACCTTGACGTGTCAATGCTAACTCAAATTTTTTTATATGTTGGCAAGTCCAGCTTGGACCGTGAGCTGGAATTCTACCCCAACAATTTAAAGTTTTTTTTCTTCATTCGTCACTTTCGTCTTCCCTTTCTTCAACTTTTTCTTCAACTTCTGCACATCTCTAACATCTCAACCAATCTATTTACCCAATCAACCATGGGTTTGAAGGAACCCAATGTGTGGATTTGATGGAACCCTCAACTTCTGCAAATCTCTAACATCTCAACCAATCTCTACCTTCTAGGTTCTTCATCGTCAAACAACAAAACCCACAAAAAATTTAAAATTTTTGTCACTGGATTCCATAGAACCCGTACTTGGGTTCTAACGAACCTAGGCGTGCTCGGTTTGTCAGAACCCAGGCAGAACCCAGGTGTGGGTCGATGGGAACCCTCAACTTTTGCAAATCTCTAACTCAATCAATCTATTTACCTCAATCAATCTCCACCTTTGCTGGGTTCTTCATCACCATAAAAAAAACAAAACCCACAGAAAGCCAAAAAAGTAAAAAAGGAAATTTAAAAAAAAAAATTTTTTGCCATGGGTTTACATAGAACCTCGCCTGGGTTCCAAGGAACCCAAGTGTTGGGTTCCATCAAACCCAGGCTTGGGTTCTAAGAAACCCAAGTCTTAGGTTTCATCGGACCCAGGCTTGGGTTCGATGGAACCCCAACGCTTGGGTTACTTGAACCCACGCCTAGGTTCAATGAAACCCAAGCGCTAGGCTCTATGGAACCCAAACGCTGGGTTTCATGGAAGGCTTTTGTTTGTTGATAAATTCTGTTGGGTTTCAAGGGAGAGAGAAAGGAAAAGAGAAGGAAAAAAAAAGAATTTTTTTATTTTCTTATTATATTATTGTTTTTTTTATGTCATTATCATAAAGTCTAAGCTAAACTTGCCAACATGTAAAAAAATTTGACACGTCAAGCTATAAACAAAGATTAATGATGCACGTGTCGCACGTATCACACGTGACTTTTCGACGTTATATTTTACTTTATTTTTCTAAACTCAAAAACATTAAAAATAAAAAATTATATATTGTAACATGAGAGCTAAAACCCCACAAATTCAAAAAGTTAAAGTGCAAACGGCTACATGTTACCCTTCATCCATTACCAATTTTACCTGCTACCAATTGTTTTTAGAATAAGGTTAAAACCCCTTTTTGGTCCCTCAACTATTGTACGGACCTTCGATTTGGTCCCTGAACTCAAAAAATCCCTGATTTGGTCCTTACTGTTTACCATTTTTACTCCGATTTGGTCCTTTCGTTAAAAATTCAATGATGTGTCCAGTTAACTAACGGAAAATGATGACATGTCAAAAATTATTACAGATCAATACCATGTCATTAAAACACGCAGATTTCAGCCAACAAAAAAAAAATGTAGGGCCCACCTCTTGCAAAAATCACTATCTTCTCTCCTTCTTCCCATTCACACCCTGGGTTCTTTGAACCCCAGGCGCTGGGTTCCCTCGAACCCGTGCCTGGGGTTCGAACAACAATTCATCATCATCATCAAACAACACCCACAAAAACTTCATCAATCAATTCATCATCATCATCAAACAACACCCACAAAAATAAAGAAATTATTTATTTATTTTTTTTGTTGAAGAAACTAGAGCCTGCTGGGTTCTTCAAACCCAGGCGCAGGTTCGAAGAACCCAAGCCTACTGGATTCTTCAAACCCACGCTTGGGTTCGAAGAACCCAGGTGCTGGGTTCCCTCGAACCAGCGCCTGGGTTCCTTCGAAGAACCCAACAGCTAGGTTCTTCGAACCCTAGGCGCGAGTTCGAGGGAACCCAGCGCCTGGGGTTCAAAGAACCCAGGGGTGTGAATGGGAAGAAGGAGAGAAGATAGTGATTTTTGTAGGAGGTGGGCCCCACATTTTTTTTTGTTGACTGAAATCTGGCGTGTTTTAATGACATGGTATTGATCTGTAATAATTTTTGACATGTCATCATTTTTCGTTAGTTAACTGGACACATTATTGAATTTTTAACGGAAGGACCAAATCGGAGTAAAAATGGTAAACAGTAAGGACCAAATCAAAAATTTTTTGAGTTTAGAGATCAAATTAAGAGTCTGTACAATAGTTAAGGGACCAAATCGGGGTCTTAACCTTAGAATAATGCAAAAAAGACGCAATTTTCACACGCCACCACCGTTTGGTCCATAACATGGTAACCCGCAATTTTGTTCTTCCTCCCGTTGCTGGCGTCTTTCTTCCCATCTCCAACCTTAAACCCACAAACACCGTGAAGCGCATCGAAGCGACACAGGAAAATGTGGCGTTACAACTCCTCTTTCCGCCCCCTAAAACCCTTCTTCTTCATTCACCGTTCTCTTCACCACGACACCCCGCGGATGAGAAGCTCAATACAGTTCCTACGCCTAGTATGCCTTCTGTCACAGTTCCTACGCCTAGTATGCCTTCTGTCACAGTTCCTACGCCTAGTATGCCTTCTGTCACAGTTTCCCCTATGAATGCAGCTCTCTTGACACCTCAAGGAAGGTTCTTGTTCGATTTTTTCTTGTATAAAACCACCGCGGCCGGAGGAGAAGCTCGACTTGATTGGCTCCGGTACGGGTTCTGGTTCGGATGGGTCGGTGGAGCTGTTTGCGGATGTGGACCTCTCAGTTTTGGATGAGTTGTTGCAGATTTTGAAAAGGTGGCTATTTTGGGTTTCCTTTATGCTTCTGAATAAATGAAGTGTAAGAAACTAGTTTTGATTTTGATTTGGCATATTGGTTTAATATTGTTTTGATTTATGGGTATGAGGAGATTGCATTTTGCTTATATAGTTGGTTGGAATTGGGTCAATTTGTTTGTTTTCTGATTGACATTTCTCTTGGGTTAATTCTGTGCAAACTTGCAAAAGTTGAGATCTTTAGCTTCAATTGGCAACCTTTTGTTGGATCCAAATTTTTTCTGAGTTTGTCAGTAATGGGTACTTTGAAGTATTGCAGTATTATTTTGGAAATAATTTTTTTGAATAAGCAACTATGAAAATGATACGCCTTGTTTGATGTATTTTCTGGAATTGGAAGTGACACTCTGCATTCATTGCATGCTCTTTCAGCTGCGTTCCCTTTTTTCTTTTTTTTTTTTCCCTTTTAGGTAGCAGGGTAAACTGTAAAATTGCTGTTAACCTTTGTTTCTATATTTTTCTGCAGATACCGGTTAAGGGCAAAGGTTGAGATCGAGAATGTAGCTGAAGACTTCTCTTGCTGGCAGCGTTACGGTGGGAATCTGTCTGAGAAGTCTTCAGCTGTTGAAGAACCAGAAACTGCTTCTGTTGGCTGGGGCGCAGGTGTTGATCATTCTGGTGAATCAACTTCACATGGTGGTATGCTCGGATGGCATTGGCATAAGGATCCTAGATTGGATTGTCTTGGCTTTAGGGGGATTTTCCCCTCTGGTACAACCCGTAAGTTTGAGGAACTTCCATTGATTCTCAGAATTATTTATCAATGTCATGTGCAAGAAATCATTGGCTTCCAAATAATAATGGAGTTAAGATTTAGTGTTGATTACTCCTAACTAATCAAGCTACAAATATCCATTGTCTCTTTCAGCACCTTTAGTTGAGGCTGATAAAGAAACAGATGTAGAGAATTATCTTTTGTGGAGAGGAGAGAAGGGAGTTGCAGAAGGCTCAATTGAAATTCCAAAAGGTTCATCTTAATGCTTTTGTTGAAGGAATACTTTGCTTTTCCTGAATGTTTCTCGTACTTCGCAATTCTGCTGTTAACATGATTATATTTATCAAATCTTGTATCAAGAGATGTTGCAGCTCTGTTTTAAGAGCTAGGTTCCTTTTATCTGAACTGAGTGCTGACATAACTTACCATATCCTGTTTAGGTGAGGCAATCCCCCTGGAATGCAATCTTGTAGGTCTAAATGCTATAAGCTTCGACAAAGGATGCTATGTGGGCCAAGAACTCATAGCTTGCACACACCATCGGGTGGTTATTCGCAAGCGCTTGCTTCCTTTGAAGTTTCTTAATAATAATGGAAAAGGTGCATGTCCCTTCATTCAACTTGAATAAGTTTAGTTATCTCTTTACAATGCAAGTAATTTGTAATTCTATTCTTACAGAAGTAGAGGAGAAAGTTGCTCCTGGTTCTGAAATGATTGACACTGTCTCAGGGAAGAAGGTAGGTACTGTGACCATGGCCCTTGGCTGTCGTGGAATGGATGTTTTGCGGTTGGATGAAGCCTTTAAAGTCGGTTCCTTGATCATACAAGGACGGGAAGATGTTAAGGTTGACACGATTAGACCAGAATTGTGGCCTTCTGACTGGTATCAAGACCATCAACAACACAGTGCAGTTGCGTAGGACGCATATCCTTTTTATGCAAGATGTACCTGGTTTGCCAGTCCTGGCACTTTGTAGAGTTTAGAACTGCTAACTTGTATTTAAAAAAATAATAATAATAAAGAAAATAAAAGCAGTTTTTCACAATGATACTGTCAATGTGGCAAAAAGCTTGCTTAGACTGTGCTTAGGCACCACTTAAGCTCTAGGCAATGCTCAACTACCTTTCCTAGGCCTTAGGCTGTAGAGCCATACGTTTCTTCTATTTTTTTGGATTTATTTTTTCGTTTTATTTTGACATTTTTTGCAAAAAAATAAAAATGCTTAATGGTGCTTCTATGGTGCCTAAGCATATCACCTTGGTGCTAGGCAATGGCCCAACGCTTACCATCACCTAGTTCTTTTTGTAAGACTGCAATCTTGGATACTGTATTCAAATATACCTAATGAATTGTAAGATTATTATGGTGTCGTTTCTTACATGTCTCCACAGCCACAAGGGATGCCAGCTTTATGCCAGCTTTTGACAGTTTTGGAGATATATTATTGGAACTAATCCTGGGAGGAATTGTTTCACTAAAATTTCTCATCTACAACTCTTCAGTGTGCTGGTAGCCTTGGACAATTGACAATTTCAATCTCCTTGGTTTCGTCAACGCTTGTTTTAGCATATACTTTGATACAAATTAAGGTCATGTCTTTCTTATCTTCTTTGTCCTGAGCTGGTGCTGCAATGATTTAGCTCCTGAATTATTGCTTGAATGGTTGGTCTTTGGCTTGGGGACTCATCGGTGCAGGCCAGGGCAAGCTTCCCTAGCTTAGCTGCAGTGGACCCTGAAAATTTCCCTATCAGATTTGTATCAATATAATCTTCACATCTGCAAGACTCAGCAGCTGAACGAATTGTGCTTGTGAGTTGGCTTTTTCCAGAGAGGATTTGGAGAATGATAACTCCAAATGCAAATATATCAGTCTTTTCTGTAAAACGCCCAGTAGTGATGTATTCTGGAGCCAGGTAACCCATGGCAGCAGTGATTTTCAGAGCTGAAAACATAATATCATCTGCAAGAAGCTTATGAAGGCCGGAATCTGCAATCAATGGGTTGAATTTCTGGTCTATCAGAACTTTCTCCACTGAAATGTTCTGGTGGACTATTGAAGGCTTGTTTGCTTGGCTGCTGTGCAGATACTCAATACCTGATGTAGAAACAAGAAGATTTTCAGAATGCTAAGGAAAACCAAATAGAATAAAAATATTTTTCAAAACGATACTGAAGAAAACCTAACCTTTTGCTATGCCATTGATAATGTCAATCCTTGTGGACCAGTCTAGAACTTGTGTGCGTTCGTCTTCAACATCAAGATAGTTTGAAAGGTTTCCATTGGGAGCAAAGTCATATATGAGAAAACATTCTCCTCTGTCCCTTGAGCAACAAAACCCTCGCAACCTAACAATATTTTCATGCCTTAATGAGGTTAACAAGTTCAACCCCTTCACAAACTCTGCTTCCTCAGATTTGCAGCTGATCACATTTATACTTCTAACAGCTACAAGGGAACCATCCCTGAGAATCCCTTTGTGGACAGATGAAAACTTGCTTCTCCCTTGCAAATTCGCCTCCGAAAAGCAATTTGTGGCTGACTCAACTTCTTCTATGTTGAACCTAAATTTATTCAGGTTTTCTTGAGAAAATCCAATCCCATTCAAACCGTCACCCAAGGGATCCCAACCATGGGAATATTCAAGAGTTACAAGAGGAGAAACACTACCATTCCAGTGAAATTCCTTAGCCTGCTCAGTGCTTAAGCTCCCTTCAAAGGAATCAGATATGTTGCTTCTAATCTTTTGTCTCTTTCGGCGGTAGGTAAAGAATGTAACAAACACAGCACCAATCAGTACAATTCCGAGAGGAACCACCCCAAGAACAACAAGGACTAATCGGAATTTTGATGGAGTTGCGCACTTGCTGCCGTTGCAATTTACTGAGAAGTTTGGTGGTTGAGGGGCAACTCCTGGGGTGGTGGTGCTATTTATCATTTCTGCTCCAAAAGGTTCAACCTGGTTGATGTTCTGATTGTCGAAGACAGTGCAAGCTCTCAATCCTGGAAACCTTGTTCCGCATAAAGCCGGGTTGTTCTCCCATTGAAACCCTCCATTTAATCTCTGTAAACCTTGGTTTTCATCCAAAAAAACCTAAAGATAAGCACCACACAAAAGAAATATAGTACCATTGAACATAATATCATAGAAGAATTAGAGTTTATTACCAGAAGGTACAATGCCTGAAAGAGTATTGTTTCTGACATCTAGAATTTCCAATTGTGGAATTTTAGCTAATTTTGGAGGAATTATACCAGACAAGCGATTGAAGCTCAAGTCAAGCCTTCTTAACATCCCCAAGTCCCCCAAACCTCCGGGGATTTCGCCTGTTAATGTGTTGTGTTGCAAAGCAAGAACAGTTAATTTCTTCAGGGACCCCATCTGGATAGGTATATTCCCTGTCAGTCTATTACAACATAACTGCAAAACTACAGAACAAAAAAGTTTCCCATTAAATCAGGACATGCTTGAGCAAGACAAAAGCACTAGGTTAAAAAACGTAGCAAAACATGTGATTCCTGAGTTGTCTCTAATCTATGACACCAAAATACTTCAAAGAATTACATTTGGCTGTTTCTTAGGTAGTCGGATAGGACTTGAACTCAATGATTGAACCAAAAAAAGAGCTCTGCTATTAGGTTGCTGGGAGAAGTACCAACCTTGCAATCCGGCCATGTTTCCGATCTCTGGAGGGATTACACCGGAGAAATTATTCACGTCGAGATAAAGATCTGACAATTCAGTGAGATTTGCAATCTCTTTGGGAATTTCTCCTGACAAAGAATTGTAATGCAAGTAGAGACCAGAGAGACACTTGAGTCCTGCAATAACCGGTGATATTGAACCGGAAAGACCCTTTCCTTGCAACGAAATGTTAGCCACTTTACGGTGCTCATTGCAGGCCACACCCTCGAATGAACCGGTGCAAGGGTCACCGTGATTCGTCCATGATTTGAGGAGCTTGTTTGTGGGGTCCAACGAGGATTTCAGCTCCATTAAAGCTCTTAGCTCTGTGTTTCCATGAGCAGGGAGTGGAGTTAAGGATGTAAGAAAGAGAAAGACACAGAACAAGAAACGCAGGAAACCCATCTCAAATATTCAGAATTTCGTCCTCTCTAGATGTAAAGTGAAAAGGGAAAAATCCATTTCTGCTTCAAAAATAGGATAAATTGAGAAATTGAGAAGAAGACGGCGGTGAGAACAGGGGAAAGGAGATGGAAACAGAGGAGGAAGGGAAGTGCAAGGTGCAGAGCATTCCAAAGTCGAAACAGAGTACTGTTATCAATAACAGAAGGCAAGTGAAGCATAAGGTGAGAAGCTGACATCTATATGAGAGGACTATGACGACTTCAAGCACTGTGTAGTATGTACCGCTTGAGTTAACTCTGAGGTGATCATAGCATAATTGGGCTATGATATACTTATTATTTTATATTTCCTGCCGTCACTGAAGGGGGTGGTGTGAATACAGATGAGGAAACTACGGAAAGCAGAGCTAACATTGTAGTTTTCGTCGATATGTATTCACATTCAAGTCTTCTCTCTCACTTAGTTCTCTTCTCTCTCACTTAGTTATATAGACAAAAAAAAATTTTTAATAATTTTTTAATATAATTTTTATATATTATTAAATAAATAAATTTAATTAATATTACGTGTTATAATGGAATGAAAAATTAATTATTTAAAAATATATGAAATTATTAAAAAAAACAATTAAAAAAATTATTTTTTAATCATTTTCTTTTTCTCTCTTATTCCCATATTTGTAACTTTTTTTTTCTCATTTTTGAAACCACATACTTTAAACCTTTATTTTCGAATTGGTTTTTTAGATTTAATGATCATCTTTAAATCTTATTTTTTGAAATTAGTTGATCAAAAATTTGACTCTTACCAATTATTTAAAAATTTTCTTTTTCCCCAATATTTCTCCATGTTAAAAAAAAAAAAAAAGTTTATCTTTAATAATGGATCAATGTATGAAAATATTCTAATATTATGTCAACAATTAGTTTTTGTAAGAAAAATTAGATAAGAATCCAAAAATGGTATTGATTTTCTAACATCAATTAACAGAAAGAATTCGCTTTGCAGATAAAAATGACATGCAAAATATTAAATTTAATTGTTGCTTTTTGAGTGAATTTATATATCCAATTAAGACTAAATTCATTAAAAAGAACAATAATTATGTGGGATAAAAGGGGGTAGGAAGTAGGAACTCTAAAATCTCAAAATTTGAGGTGTGTCTTTAAGGGAGAATCGTTACTTCGTGTTGCAAAGTTTGTTTCATATTTTATTATTTTAAGAAAAAAATAATTTAAAAATAAAATTTTTATATTATATTTTTATATAATTTTATATATCATTTAAATAATAATAATTTATTTATTTAATATTTATAATATTAAATATATTTATTTATTTAATAATATAAAAAATTATATAAAAAATTATGAAAAAAAAATCATCCTTGTGTCACTGTCCTTATTTTAATTAACCAGCAGTTATTCACGTTGGGAGTTGAAATTGAGGGGGCACTTGGCGTTTTAAGCAAAAAAAAAAGAAAAAAGGAAAAAAAAAACATTATTATAATTGTCTCTCACTCATTGTTGGGTTAGGAAGGTCTTGAGGTCAACGGGTGGAGAACCTAACTCCGGCACACAAATAAATAAGGAAAAGAAAATCAACTTAGAAGGTGCTTCCAGCTTGTTGCCAACATTTTCATTTGATCGAGTACCCCATTTATGCTTTATTTATTTATTTTGTGTGAGTAGGACAAAAAATTACTATTCCTTGACATTACATTCACCTGAATTCCAACGAACCTTTATCACAAATAACAATAATTTATCAACTATTTACTTATTTAAATAAAAAAAATTTGATTTTTTTAAAATAAAATTTTAAATTTAAGTATTATAAATAAATAAAAAGTATTGAAAGAATTTTTTCTTAATGAGATTTAATTCGATTCGATTTTAAATTAATTAAAATTTAATATGATTACCAAATATTAATAAGTTAATAAAAAAAATAACAATAATCTAATATATTTCGATTGCTAATTACCTACTCTTTTCTCTCCTAAATCCTTTTTCCTAAGATGAAATGAGTTTATTAGATTCTTATGTTTGAAATAATCTCTATCGACCTTTCATTTAGCTAAATGATTTGCTTCAAGTCTAAGGTTTGGACAAGATTATCAAATATGATCGAGGAAATAGAGTTTGGTCCCACTGTTGTACACAAGGTTGATCTTGCTATTAGATCCTTTGTTATTTATATAGTCTACGAAAAAGTAGGTTGGCAACTTTTCCTATTCGAACATTGAAAGAACACTATATCATGCGACAAATATGTCACTATTCTGAAAAGAACCCAACACCTTAGGCTTAGCTGACCCAAAAGCATGTAATTTAAAGAGGAAAGGGAAAGAACTCAGTGGTAGTGATGAAAAAAGGGGTGGATAATGGCTAATGGGTCCATGATGGCTATGAAAATCATTAATCATGCCACTTGATTTGAACATGATGGATGTTTTTCAAAATTCTGGACACCCTTCTTGATGGGATTGAGATGGGAAAAAGGATCTTAAAAAACCAAAAAAACAAACATGTATTTGAAATCTACTCTATTATATATGTTCTGTGTAGTATTCAATATATATATATATATATATGTATGTATTTTATCAGCAGTGTAGTATTCAATATTGACTCCAGCAATGGCAAAAAACTGTACGAAACAGTTGCTTATCAGGTCAAGTGGATTGAAGATTTGCTTCTAAGTAATGTTTGAATTTAATTTGATTTCCCACACACAAAAAATTCTTCCTTTCATTTTCAAAGTTTGAAAAAATGTGCAAACAAGAAAATAAATTTTGTTATTTTTTTATTTAAAGATATAAATTTTATTAAATTTTAAATAAAACAATAAATTTTTAACCTTTTTATTGATTTAAAAATATCAACTTTATATTTTTTATTTAAAAATCAATCAAATAGTTAAAAAAATCATATGTTATATTAACATCACTATCTAATTAAATTTTAAATAAAAAAATATAAGCCCCCGTAACTTCAACTGCTTTAATCGATGCACTTAAACACATGGTTTCGATCAGAATTTAAAGTTGCAATGTGTAGCTCTTTACTTTTTCCCTCCTCACATTCTCCCTGTTCAAAAAAAAAAAAAAATATATATATATATATAATTGACATTATTAAATAAAAAATAAAAAATATATTATTTTATTTAAAATTTAATAAAATTTAAGTTTTTAAATAAAAAATAATAAAATTCACATTGTTATCCACAATTTTTTCTCTTCGAAGTACAATTACAAAGAGAGGCAGCATCAATTTCCATCACTACTTTGCATTGATATCTCCTCTAATGACGGCTACGTCAAAGAAAAATCTCCTCTAATGACGGGGGTGTAACGTGTCGTGTGTGCTTAGCGAGGATAAATTTGGTCCCATATGGTTGGGTTCCTGGGCCAGGAGGCTTGATGCTAAAGTTTGCAAATAATATATAAACAGTTACTAAACACTGCTTCTTTTTTGCAATATTGAGCATTGGGCATCATGGGCCAGGGCACATGCATCCAGCTGAATTCCGAATTGGTGAAGCCCCATTAGGCCATCTTTGATACAAAAAAAAAAGAAAAGGAGGGCACTGGCCATCCAGTTGGGCTACTCGGTTACTAAAAATTTGCCTATTTTCCACTGATATTTTGCACTCCATGCAAACCGAGCGGAGATTGAATAATCAGCACCCATTACCAAGGGGTCTTTATTGTTTAATAATTAATTTTTTATAATTAAAATTACAAAATATTTTTAAAAAATAGGAAAGAGGAAAATTTTTTCAAGTTTGATTAAAATCAAATTGGTAACTGACACGTAAAGTTAGCTTGTAAAAGAGGGTTAAATATCAATTTTGGTCCCTAAGTTTTAAGTTTTTACACAGTTTTTGTTCTTTAACTTTTTACTTTTTTTTTTTTTT